TAATATATAAATATATATATATATATATATGTATATATATTTATTTATTTATTTATTTATTTAAATTCTACTTCCCTCCAATCAAATTGGAATTGGAATTCTGATTGACTACATCCAGTAAAATTCAGAAATCTATTTATCTATCTATCTATCTATCTATCTATCTATATTCATATAGTACATATTCTCTCAAGAAACAATAAGAAATACACATGTATTTAATGTGAAATATTAAACAATCCCTGACTGCTTCAGCTGTGAGGTGATTTCACAGTTTTGTAGAGGAACTTATCAAACTACAGCATGCAAAATTGTAAATTAGTGAAATAAAGATCCTGTTGATCATAATTTCAAGGCCAACGATAAGGGCTCACACTGCGCTGATTCATGGCTTCAGTGTTATCACAAACCAATATATCTAATCCCCGAGGTGAGCTGAATCTCTGCCCTGCTTCACTTCCTGTAATTCCATTGCTGACCCTGTTTAATACACTATACAGCCATTTGGATTTACAAGCATTTGCTCCATATGTGACCTCTGCTGGGTGACATCATTGTTATAAAGGAATTGAATTTGTGGAGGCTCCATGAAGACTGTGAGACAGCGTGTGTGTGAGTGTGAGACACATGAGAGAGACAGACAGGATAAGGCAATTGATCTTCATGAATCTGACATGCCTGTCCACTTGAAAATAATTCACAGGAGCAAAGTACCCATTACGCTGCAAAACAGAAATTGACATGAATAAGAATGATTTACACATCAAGTTTTGCTTTCTTTTCATGGGTCTCTAATGACGATGAAAGGTTTTCTAAAGAATATTTGATTTCTTTGGGTGAGCCAATCTGATAATTCTGCATTGATGATAAATCCTGTTTTAATTGTAATAACTTTAATCTATTGTGGTATGTTAAGCTACATTTACACTGCTGGTATCCTCCAAAAGTTTCTTCAGTCACTAACATGTGCAAAAAAGGATCATATTTCCGTCAAAAATACAGAACACAGCAATAAGAAACTATATTCTGCATTATATTTTTTATATTTTATCCACTATAATATTTCCATGAAAGCACAATCAATTCTGAGGTAAAATATACATTTATTCTAGTGCCTTGAATTTAATATGCTGATTTTACGTAATCAGCGTTTTTTTTTTTTAATAATTAAAAAAATACAATAATACAGAAAAATGCTGTATTACATAAAATGTCATTTTCTAAAAAAAAAATGTATGTCATATCTGCAAATATTAAAGAAATGAAGCTCATTTTTAGGGATATTAAGATTTTCCCCATTATTCTCAATGTTAATTCTTACCCTTAAAATGAGCTTCATTTCTTTAACATTTTATATAAATAAATAGCAAATATTAAAGAAATTAAGCTAATTTTAGGGATATTAAGGTTTTTTCATTATTTTAATATTTGCAATCTGTATATATGACATACAGTTGTTTTGTGAGAAAGTGCTATATATTTTATATAAATAGATATTTAAGAAATATAAATGAAATGAAGTTAATTTTTAGATTTATTGCTTAAATTAATGCTGTATTACATAAAATGTCATTTTCTAAAAAAAAAAATGTATGTCATATCTGCAAATATTAAAGAAATGAAGCTCATTTTTAGGGATATTAAGATTTTCCCCATTATTCTCAATGTTAATTCTTACCCTTAAAATGAGCTTCATTTCTTTAACATTTTATATAAATAAATAGCAAATATTAAAGAAATTAAGCTAATTTTAGGGATATTAAGGTTTTTTCATTATTTTAATATTTGCAATCTGTATATATGACATACAGTTGTTTTGTGAGAAAGTGCTATATATTTTATATAAATAGATATTTAAGAAATATAAATGAAATGAAGTTAATTTTTAGATTTATTGCTTAAATTTTTGACATTGACAACATATTTAAAATTCCAACAGACATCATGCTCCACTGACTCACATATGGGGAGAAAATGTGACATCTTTTGTTGCTTTCGTCTCAACAAGAGTTTACACAATTACAGACAGCTGGTTTGCCTTCAAGCAAAAAAATTTGACGTTACCGTCTGAGGTTGAGCATCACTTTCTATAACAATGCATTTACAGACATACTATACTAAGTCTATGTCTAATTAAACTGACAGCATGTATTTTCCGGTCAAAGCCCTTAAAGGATAATCAAACAATGAAAATGTCATCACACTATGACCAGGAGCTGTCAAGGTCCAAAAAATAAAAAATAAAAATAAATAACAACAACCAAGAAAGTACCATAAAAATGGTCTCTATGTCCTGTGCTTTACATATGACTTGAGTTTTGTGAGTCATAATACCTGCTTTTATGGTGCTTTTCGGACAGGAAAAGCACATTGTAACCTTGGGAAAGATTCTCAGAGAAAGTTAATTGGAGTGGGGTCTGATCTTATCATGGACGTTCAATCTGTGTTAGTTAATAGTAAAACTCAAGGCACACTCCAGAGCTCGCTGCAGCCTCTCCGGTGTTGAATGGAAACAGCCTGAAGCAATTAGCCCACTAAGACCCACTCATTAGGAGGTAAGAAGTGAATGAGATCTGCTCACCACAGCTAATCAATATTAATGATGGATTATTTACAATTAACAATGGGCCCTTAATGGCCGCCTAATTGTTTGTTTTGGCTTAACGTGTGGAGAGCAGCAGATAAACTAAGGACATTAGTGAGAGAGAGGAGCTAAATGTCTTCTCACTTTCTTTTACAGCACAGATAAGCTCGTTTGTACTGGAGGACTGTTTTGTTTTTCATGTAGGCCTGCAACAACAAATCTGCTCAATGTTTTTTAGTCCCCTCTTAGTCAAAATGAGAGTTTTGTGGCTTTTAATCTGTCTTCACACTTACACTTCTGCAAGTGTAAGCTATATATACTGTATATATATATATACATGTACATAGGTTATATATACACATACATACACACACACACACACACACACACACATATATATATACTCTCTAGATTCAGAGTATTCACAGTAGTAGTATATCTTACTGTTTTTAGCATATAGGAAATAGAATTAAGAAAACTAGTAATTTCATGGTATCACTATGGAAAAAAAGATTCAAGCACAAATTCTACACTAAATTCAGGTGTAAACAGGGTCCAAACCATTTTAATCTAGACCAGTTTCACATCGACATGGTCAAAATAACAAATAGCTGCTTGAAAGCATTTGAGCAACAAAGGATATGAATAAATAACTACTAAAAATAAAAATAACTTAATAACCTAGACTGAATGACTGCAGAAACGTGTCTAAATAAACGCGCAATACCTTACTGAACTTCTTCAGCATGTCTGGAATCAACAACTGCAACTAAACAACTAAAATGTCAAATTTGTGATTAAACAACACACAAAAAAGTCAGACTCTTTCTTTCTTTCTGTTTTCATATCTCTTTGTGCTTTATCAACAAAGTTTCTGTGTTAGTTAATAGTAAAACTCAAGGCACACTCCAGAGCTCGCTGCAGCCTCTCCGGTGTTGAATGGAAACAGCCTGAAGCAATTAGCCCACTAAGACCCACTCATTAGGAGGTAAGAAGTGAATGAGATCTGCTCACCACAGCTAATCAATATTAATGATGGATTATTTACAATTAACAATGGGCCCTTAATGGCCGCCTAATTGTTTGTTTTGGCTTAACGTGTGGAGAGCAGCAGATAAACTAAGGACATTAGTGAGAGAGAGGAGCTAAATGTCTTCTCACTTTCTTTTACAGCACAGATAAGCTCGTTTGTACTGGAGGACTGTTTTGTTTTTCATGTAGGCCTGCAACAACAAATCTGCTCAGTGTTTTTTAAAGTCCCCTCTAAATCAAAATGAGAGTTTTGTGGCTTTTAATCTGCCTTCGTACTTACACTTCTGCACTGTGGTGTAGCTACTTCTCTGATACTTTGGTATGGTACTAATACTCATACTATGTCACTGTGTTGGTTTATTGCTTCTGTATGTATTTATAATTTGTAAATCACTTTGGATAAATGTGCAAGCTAAATAAATAAATTCAAATTTATGTCAGTTAGCTTTGAGGTCATGTATGAAGTGCAGTGCTGAACGTTGACAGAAATAGCCATTAGAATATATAGGCCCTATATTTATATAATAAATAACTTAATGACGAAGACTGAATGAGAAGCACATATACATAAACGCACAAGACTTTACTGAACTTTTTCAGCATGTCTGATATCAATAACAAAATAACTTACAGTTCTGCTTGAAACGTCATGTGCGTGATTAAAAACACAAAACGGTGCAATTCTTTCTTTCCTTCGTTTTCATATCTCTTTGTGCTTTATCAACAAAGTTCCATTCAATCATTTGTAATCGGATCTGTAAAATGCACCTTAATACCAGTAAACGGGGTCAGTAAACATGATCAGTCACATGATATTTACGGCTCTTGTGATTGGCTCAAAAAATGTTTTTAAGTGAATGGGAATGCTTTGACTGTGCCAGTGAGCTATAGGCACTGAGTTTAACAACTATACTCACTTTTATACATTTTTATAAATTGTTGTTGTATATATATGTTATCCCAGTACCTGACAGGAGATACACTTACCTCACATATTATGTGAAAAAACAGGCTTGGGGAGTGTGAAGTATGCAAAAAATCAGATGCTACCTATAGACCAAGTTTGTGAGGGTTAATTTATGACCCTTTCTGTGTCCAGTTTGGTTTAAAACCCATGATTTGGCACCCACTGTTTAACCCCCCTCCCCAAATCTGAATTGAGCGTTTTGAATGGTTGGTGCTCTTTTACCAGCTCACACCTTTTTTACACTTTTGTTGGGCAAATGGGGGGAGGCACCCTGCAGTTTAAGAGGGGGTCACCAAAGTTAGAACTGCCTCTGTGTTTTCTTTCCCACCTTCTTGCTCATTCAGCCAGTTGCACTTTTGTGACACTGCCAACACAGGTCAGTTCATAAGCATACTTTGAGGACTGCTCAGAGAGAAAAGGCTTTGCTGATGATCACGGGAATCCTGGAAACACTCTATTTTGGGATTTTTAGGTCTAGTGACTGGAGAGGAACACTCATGTGTGTTTGTTCAGAGTGCATTTGTTGGTCTTCTACACTGACATAAAAGCTACTTCTGTTATCAGAGACAATAACTTTTTTCCATCTATTTGCTGTTTTTGGAGACTTCAACCAGTTTAACCTGCCAGGCAATGGCTTATTTACTAGTTGTACTAGTGCTGATGCTAGTTTCAGGATCTGAGTCCTTTCATTTGGAGCACCTCAGCCGTTTTGACTGGCAGAAGAGCATTCGACCAGGAGAGGGATGCCCTAAAAAGTGCCACCCTGAGCGGTGCCCAGATGTTAGGCAGCTGCAGGGCTGTCCATCCGGGCTGGTTCGTGACCAGTGCGGGTGTTGCTGGGAATGTGGAAACGATGAGGGGCAGCTGTGTGACCCGGAGCCCCGATCTGGGTCTACTTTCTTCGGGCGCTGTGCTGAAGGGCTGCGCTGCAGAGCTCCACGCAGAAACCCCACAGGTGAACCCAGAGCCACCTGCGTGTGCAGCAAGCAGGAAGCACTCTGTGGTTCTGATGGAAAGACGTATAAAAATATATGTCAGTTTCGGGCGGGCCAACACAAGCAAGGCAAAGGGCAGATGCTGACAATGGTGCACCACGGACCCTGCAAGACAAGTGAGTATCTCTAAAAGTACTATGATTAAATCTTAATATATACATATATAGATACATTGTAATTCCTGTTATTCTCAATGGTGATTTTCATTACTGCAACTTTTTAAAGTGCATTTCAATTTATTAGGTACTATTAAAATTAGCATGGATTAAAGGCAGCACAACAAATACTACAATGATTGTATAAACACTCAGTAATTATTACATTTATATTATTTATATATTTATATTAAAATGACAGTTTGTATATTTTAAATGTCTTTAAATGTTACATTGATACAATTAAATGATTACATATTGTATATTAAATGTTAAAATTTTATATTGACATTACAATAATGAGTATGTGATGTTTTTGCATTAGGATAATGAGAATTGGGGTGGGGGGCTTAAAAGTCGCAATTGCAATCATCCTAAAATAGGCTTCATTTTCTTTCAACTAAATATGATTATTTCTATCATCATTAAAAAAATATATATATATTTTTGCTTTTGGCAATGACAATATGGCCAGGGCATGTCCTAACAGAGATTTCCCTTTCTAAAGGCCTTCAGCTATTAAAAATGTATTTAATTGTATTGGATCGGTTTTCTTATTGGGATTTGATATTGAATTTTAGTACTAGTACTTGTTTGCTCAGCGACCTCAGCTAAAGTAACGGCCACATCAGTTTGGAATGAATGCATCTGCTAATGTAAATGTAAATGTATATATAGATGTAAATGTCCTCTCAGGAGAAACCATTGTCATGGATAGAGTCTGAGTGCCAATATAATCACCACATTTCAAAGTTTTGTCATGGAAAAGGCCAAATGAAAACCCATTTGTTCAACTGTGGGAATACGAAGTCAGCCGTTAAGTTTGTATTTACCTTACCGTCATGTTTAAGATTAGCAGCTCGTAAGTGTTCAATCTCACATCTTAAAATAATTAACCAAGCTAACCAAAAGGGAAGTCGTGGCCTAATGGTTAGAGAGTCGGACTCGTAACCCAAAGGTTGCAAGTTCGAGTTTCAGAGCCGGCAGGAATTGTAGGTGGGGGGAGTGAATGAACAGCGCTCTCTCCCACCTTCAATACCACGACTGAGGTGCCCTTGAGCAAGGCACCGAACCCCCAACTGCTCCCCGGGCGCCGCAGCATAAATGGCTGCCCACTGCTCCGGGTGTGTGTTCACGGTGTGTGTGTGTTCACTGCTGTGTGTGTGCACTTAGGATGGGTTAAATGCAGAGCACTAATTCCGAGTATGGGTAACCATACTTGGCCACATGTCACTTCACTTCAAAATACAGCACAAATGGCTACAGTAAATACAGAAGCTAGTGTGAAAGAAGCATCGAGTAGCAGAAATTTGCTTTAGGATGTTTTTTTTTCTTAAATTTAAGTGTCGCATCTTCTGCGAACTTTACAGAACCGGTTATCACTTATGCTCCCCATGACATCGTCACAACCAAAGGAAGTGATGTCATCTTTTCCTGTGAGGTGTCATCGTATCCAATGGCCTCCATCCAGTGGAGTAAAGAAGAGGACGTTATTTCTTTTCCTGCTGATGATTCAAGCATGGCTGTACAGGTATGTGCACATTCAATAATCTGTACCTGCGGGACAATAAAATTGGAAAAAAATGTAGTAACCAACACTGCAACATAGTAACAAATACACAGGCAAGCACCATTCAAATTGGCATCAGTGTGCACAGAATGATAGTTACGTAATCTTTAGAATTTTTCATTGCATTGTCCATATAAATGAAGTTCGAAAAAAAAAAAAATGCAATAGAAACACCATTTTTAACAGTTTTTAAAAGAATCATTTTTTTTTTCTTAGTAAAGAGTATTATAATAATCTGAAGAACCTTTTGTGGAATGTAAATGTTCCATGGATGTTATAGGTTCTTCATGGAACCACAGATGCCAATAAATAACCTTTATTTTTTTTTTTATGTAAACAGATAAATGACCTCTCAAACATCAGGTTTACATTCTAGTGACATTCTCTCAAACAGTTCTGGTTTTGATAAATGTGCGATGGTGTGTGTTTCTGTAATTACAGGCCCGTGGAGGTCCGCGGCGGTTTGAATTGACTGGCTGGCTCCAGATTCAAGGAGTCGGGCCGAACGATGCAGGTGTGTACACATGCACCGCCAGGAATGCCTTCGGAGAGGTGTCTGCCTCTGCCAGATTACAGGTTACACATGGAGGTATGTCTGAGAACACACTCATTCATAGACACAGACACGGCCATTAGGAAACAAGGTCAGAGAACACCGTCCAAACCAATACATATAAGACCAACACAAAATATAAGCATTATGTTTCAGAAACATCAGAATATGTAGCTTCAATTTTATTTGAACATAGTACCAATCAGATTTCCATTTGCTCTCAATTTATTTATCCTATATATCTTATTTTGGTATAGGAAAAAATATATTTAAAAATTATTTTAAAAATATGTATTATTTTAATTATTATTTTCATATGTTGATAACTATTTTTAAATTATTTGTATTTTATTCATATATTACATTAATAAATAAATAATTATTAAATACATATAAAAAAAATAAATATTATTAATATTATTAAATATTAAAAATAAATATTATTACATAAAATATTACACACACACACACACACACATTAGATAATATATATTTTTTAATGAATAATAAATATTAATAATAATAAATCTGACTGGTACTCTTCAAATGTGATTGAAACTAGATAATCTGATAAAAATAAATTAATAGATTATTATATATCAAAGAGATCTCCTTTGTGAGTTTTCAGTGTAACGTCAGTTGACTAGTATTTATCTTCTGTTGTCTTACAAGTTGATTTCCTCATCTAGTTACAATGCAAAGTATTTTTAGCAGACTATTTAAGTTAATGCAAACAGCAAACATTTAATTTGAACATTTGTCTTGTTTTAACATTGAAAAATATCTGTCCACACTGCAGAGAGGGGTCTGTTAGGTTATTCATGTTCTCTCTGCGGTCTGTGGCGTGGTCAGAAAAGACATGCGAACGCACCAACAGTGGGAGCTGATCGATTCGCATATGCCACTATCAAAGCTTATCATCTCCTCATCGCTAAAGGTGAACTTGGCCTTCCGAGAATCCGACAGAGCTGATGATAACCGTACACCAGTCGAGAGCTTTCTCCAGTAGGAACGCACAGGCTGGTGATGACAGGAGGTCAGGAGGGCCTTAGATGGGGGGAGATTTGGAAGGGAAAGGGAGAAGGGGTGGAAGGGCTTGTGTATTATGTGGCAGGTCATTGCTGTGACTGTCTGGCTGTTATCTCTTTCTCTGGGGGTCTGATCCTTTAGACTGCCCCTTATCTGCACCACCAGTGCCTGCCCCACCCCTCGCTTCCCGGAATGTCCCGACTGCTATGAACTCTGGGATAGGTGGAAGTGAAAGGTGACTCTAGACACAGGACAGACCCTTTCCTATAGGTTTTTACAGGCTATAGAGAAAAATAGAAAGAGAAGATTTAAATATATCAAGCATGCGTGTGTTTTACAGGAAGTTGTGGGCAAAAATATTGAGAAAATGCTGAGCTTTCTTAATATGATCAAAAGTAAACATGCTGCTCTTTATTTAGTGCATTAATTAATAGATCCTATTTGCATGCTGGTAATGGCTGTTCACCACATGTTCATTCTGTTAATTAAAAAAAGCATCTACTAAAATGTATTAGTATAGTATATAAATTATAGAACACTCTAATAAAAATAAAGGTTGTTTATTGGCATCCGTGGTTCCATGATGAACCTTAAACATCCATGGAATCACAAAAGTTTCTTTACAGCGGAAAAAGTTTCTTTAGATTTTTAAAATGCTCCTCACACTAAGAAAAAGTGATTCATTAAGAATTGTTCACTGAAAGGTTCGCTTTGGGAACCAAAAATGGTTCCTCTTAGGAATCGCTGCAAAACCCTTTTGAAACAATTATTTTTAAGGGCGTATTAAACAAAATAAAAATCATGTTTGTTAAAAGCATAAAAAAAATGTATGATGCATCATAAATAATTACTACAATTGATTTGATTTTTTTCTCTTTATATTTTCCAGGTTCTCAGCTGAGCAAAGAATTCCGACAAAAAGAAAACCGAGCTTACAGAATATCAGGCGAAGAAGGGAATGTCGATGATGAAGATTACGAAGGCCAGCCAAGTGGATATATGTATTTGTAACAAACAGAGATTGTAAAATCATAGCATTTAAACACAGATTTTTTTTTTATTAAGTTTGAAATGTAAGCTCAGCATAAAATGTGTACTCTTGAATATTTTTTACCCTTTTTAAGGGCAAAAAAGGGCTTATGTTTATGTGTGAGCATTGTATATAAATCCAAATAATTTCTATCCACTCTTGAGAATTGTACTTAGAAATAGAACTTAATTAAATAGTTGATTTATGCATTGAGTGCTTTATTGTTCATGATCCAAGTGGGAAAATCTAAAATATTTGCTAAGAGTTAATTTTTTAAGCGTTTAGGGTTAATCGTTATTGCCAAAAGTTGTTATGCAAAAGTGCACATGCCGGACTTTTCTAAAAAAAAAAAAGAAAAAGAAAAAAGCCATTGATGCTGCTGTGGCACGCATTTACTCTGAACCCACTCCTTGCTGTTGAATAAAACATCAGCAGTGTCTCTCCTCACTTGTGTCTTCTCAAAGACGCTGAGCAGAAAAAAGAAAAAAAAAACACCCAGGTTAAGTTGTTTGAAAGCTCTGGTATTAAGAGGCGTTTTACACTTAAGAAGTTGGTTTCGCTGGGTTTTCTCTTCCCTCCCCTATTGATTGATGCTTAGCTATCAATGCATAATAGAAAAGCACTCAGGACAAATGTGGGGTTATGGCCTTCCAGGGAGAGAGCAGACCAGGCTGTTTCCCAGCGCCATTATTGCCCCATAAAGGATCCCTGGGGAGGGACAAGTTCCTCACATCAGCACACACCAAATACCCAATTAAAAAAGAAGACCTTTAAATTCTCTCCTCTTTCCTGGGCAGAAATCAATCAGAATTCAATCTGTTCGGCTTGGATTCCGACAGGCCAGGTAATTGCTCACCAGAGCTCGGATAGGTGACAACAGCTTCGAGGAGAGACAGCGAGCCAATCAGGTGTTCTCTTTCAGACCGTCGGTGAGAAAGCAGTGATACCTAACGAAAGCTTATCTATACGCTTTCAGGCTGGCTTTTATTTTTAGACTCTTGGTGGCAGGTTAGGATTTTCTTTTCTAGGCAGCAGGTAAACGATACGACTTTGAGCGTTAAAATAAATGGATCATTTAAAGTAAGTGGCTCTCATATTCGTCTTCTTAAAAGCCCTTTGAAAATGAATTCCAATTTGGAATGATTTGTACTCCAAAAGGCATTTGTTGGGGAGCGCGCAACGCGATTGGGCGAGCGAGAATCGGAGAGACAGACCAGGAGAGAGAGAGGGAGAGATGGATGAAGATGTGATATGGAGTTAGAAGAATGCAATTAAAAGCTGAATCATTCTCACTCCAGCGTAACTCTATCCGTTGAGATGAGAGCCGAGCCTCTTTCTCATGACTGTATTTGTGAGGATAAAGCTCTCCCCTGGCCCTTGTTTTAGATTCGCGCTTAATGATTCCCTCTCCGATGGGAGAGAGTGGGCTGCTGTCAGGATGGGAGACGCAATCCGGACACAGCAGTGCCCGAGTCCCTCTGGCCAGCAACGCCATGTGCAGGGGTCAGCCGAGGGCAGAGGTCATGGGCAGAGAGCTAGGATTAATGGACATCTCAATAAAACGCATGGGTCGGGTTACTAGTTGCCCAGCCTGACCTGACACACACACACACACTCCATCTCTCATTATTTCATTAGAGTGCAAACACAAGACTCACCTCAACTGAGTGCAAGAGGATGTGGTCACAATCTTCATTAGCCTGCACTAAAATACTATGAAATAAGCATATATTAATTCTTAAGATGGTATTATTTGGCCATTGTGTATTATAGTTTTTAAAATAAATCTGGAAAATAAAAATCAGACTTTATTTCATATAAATACATAAACTGAAAAATAAAGAAAGTTGAAATAAAAGGGAAAAAAGAAACATGCAGGAAAGACGTTAGACTTAATTAAGCAGTCATGACAGTGAATGAAGCATTTTAATATTGCGCTGGTCAATGAAAAAGACCATGCATATCCACAGGAGAGATAAACAGAGACCATATTAAGAATCGAGCAAAGAATCGCTTGCTGACAGATAATTATTCAGCTGATTTTTATATTTCATACAGTGCAAAGAAATGTATATCTGGAGGATCAACCGTAAATAAATACATTAATAAGTCTTGAGTTATTCAGTGAATTTAATTAATTACATTTAATTAATTCATTATTATATTTATATACTGTAATTATATTTAGAAAGAGGATAATTAAGGTGTTATATATTTAGAAAGAAAGAAAGAAAGAAAGAAAGAAAGAAATACAAAAACGAGAATAAAAATTCAATATTATGTAGCTCTATATCTGATAATTTATTATATTTTTTATAATTATTTCTGTATTTCCTATTTACCTAATTGCGCTAGCGTGATCTTGTCCTCATGTCTGGAGAACGACGTTCACAAAAAAAATGCAGTAATCATTAGTTTATGACTAATTTTATGATTTAAATTTAATAATATCAAAGAGTTCAGAATCGAGATGAAGACGGAAAAAGCCAAAGGAAATGACTCATTAACACCATCAGGTGGCGCGTGCTGCTGTCTCATTCGCTCTCCGCTGGAACTCTCGCGAGAAGCACGTTGACTGCCGAAGGAACTCTCGCGATAATTCCATCCGCTGTTGGGCGGCATTTAGATGATGGATTGTGAGCGGCCTCATTAAGCCACGCAATGAGTGAAATATGTCTTTGTCTCCCCGTTGTCGCAAAAGTAATAAAGGGACGCCGAATTCTTCAGCACAGCTGCACATTATTGCACAGCTCTCAGCCTGACGATTTTTTTCTCTCCTCTAATTGATAAATGACAGGATGAAAGGTTATTGTTGTCACACTAATTGGAAATGGCGGTGAATTAGTAACGGGGCTTGTGCGTGCAGTGGCATTGGGTGGCACAGTCTGACTGGTGTTCTGACAAGACTGACAACCAGCTACTCATAGACTGGCCCATATGAAAAATCCACATGGACATAGAGGGAATATTAATTCCAGTGATTAAACAACACTTGGGGAAAAACGTAATATTTAAAACAGTGACCTGGCGGTAAGATGAAGCATTTTGATTTCATGCCACTATTACAAAATACAAGAACAAAATATGCTATTAAAGCTAACAATAGTTAAGATTACTTTTATGCGAGATTGGGGCTAGTTGGTACACCTTTTACTTAACGAATTTTTTTTAAGGATAGATATAGGCCTATTTATTGTATGCAAAAGATTAAACGCATGTTGACCCAACAGTGGGGTATTATAGCTAGGGTATTTAATTGCATTTCAGCAAAATCAATACAGTATAAAATAACTCATTAAACAGTGAGTCGTGCTATGAGATATATGGCATTTCAGTAAAAAATATAAAATAATTCATTAAACAGCAAAAATTGCTAGCAGAAATGGTTTAAAATCCATTGCATTTTTAAAATCAACACCCAAAACCACAGAGAAAACAGTTGTGCATTTTGACTTTTGACTCAAAATAGTTGAGATATTACTGCTGTGACAAAGCCCCGGCTTCCCTATTAGTTAGTAGTTGGTACAGTCTTGTGTCTTTAAAAACATACTTTATCCAAATGCACAAGCAAACAGAGCCCTAATAGAGTTTACGGTTTCAATCTTATTTAAATCTTGATTCTTATAAACGGAAAATACAGTGCTGTAGAAATGGACTTCCATTTGCAGGAATGTATCATTTAACCCTTCTATTTCGCTCTCCGGAGAGCTACTCTTTCACTTAGCTTTTTCCTGTGAAAGCAGGATTTGATTACTACAGTAAGTAGTAAACATGCAGGTATTTTTCCATCTCAGCTTGTTCTGAGTTCAGGGCCTCAGAGTCAGTGGATGCAGCTTGTCTATGGCACTTTCACAGATCAGCTTTCACACAAACAAACCCTCACAGAGGAGACTACAGTATATGCAGGTAAATGTAGCCATAATGCCAGCCATGCACACACTCTCCGAAATAAAGGTACAAAAGCTGTCACTGGGGCGGTACCTTTTCAAAAGGTACATGTTTGTACCTAAAGGATCCATACCGTAAACTTATTAGTACTTAAAGTGTACATATTAGAACCTAATAGGAACAAACGTGTACCTTTTGAAAAGGTACCGCCCCAGTGACAGCTTTTGTACCTTTATTTCTGAGAGTGCAGCCAATCAACTTACGGATACTCACATTTGCCTTTGCAAACACATCAGATCAGCCCATTTTGATGTCCTTCCCTTTTAAAATCTGTTGTTTCAATAACCAGAGGGTTTCAGAGGAATTGTTTGCTGTTTAATAATGTACATAGTCAAATGAATAGCATGGAACACTAAATATTTGCAGTACAGCATGTTAAAAATGTAATGGTGTGTTCAGAACAAACATTCATATTGACTTGAGTAAAGATGAAGAGGGTGTTACTCATGGTTCTTGTGGCTTTAATCTTTCAGCAATGTATTGAAGGAACATAATGCACTCTGTAGCTGTACTAATAATGTTTTTAATATTCCTCTTTAAAGTGACAGCCATACTCATGTTTCAAGTAAAAGTATATTTGCCTTTGACTTATTAAAATCACGTTTTCTCATGCATGCATTTTCATTTGGCCCAGTCAGACAGCAGTCAGTGATTGACAGATGTATTGATCCCCAGAGAAGCTTTGTGATGGTGATGTGGCATATTTTTATTTACTGCCTGTCTTTAATCCAACCTAGCCACTGCTGACAGTACTGCCTGTCCTTTAAGACTGACACAGTGCCTATTGTGAGGAAATGGAAGAGTGCAGTTTTTGAAATGTTGAGGATGCCATCAGGGGAAGCTGTCATGGGTTCGCCAGCAGGTACTGTCACAAACATAATAAATCAACTGTCTAGTTGTTCATTCATCCTTTTGTCAACTCTCTCCTGGCTTCTGTTCACTTTTATTATCGTTCATCAAAACCTGTATTTCTTTCATTTTTTTCCCCATATTTGTATTTATTTTGATTCATCTAAAATAATAAAAGCTACCCTAAAAAACAAGATAAATAGCTATGTGACTCTTCATTAACTTTATTCAATAGCCCACACAGTTCATT